TTCTTATGCAATGCTCCTAATGTATTAAATAGTTTCTTGAGGATGGGTACACAATATAACACTGCATTTTTTTTTCCAAGTTAAACTTAAAAATTTCACTAACTAGTGCATCAAAATAGAGGAACTATCACTTGCTTGCTGCTGGAGTGTTTTTTAAGTATTATGGACAAATGGTATCCATATACCAGCACATTTAGTTGAAATAATAGGCATACCAAAAATCCCTATATACCATTATGTAGCTAAATTAAAAAAAAATGAAAAAATTAATCCTCTTCCTCATTCTGGCAGACTAGTCAAATTGTCATCTTGAAAAAAGAAAAGATTGGAAAATTTTATTAAAAAAGATCGTGGAATTTCCACCAATAAACTTGCAAAAAAACTCAATACTTCCTATCCAAATTTAAATATTTCAGAACAAACTATTATTAGAACACTGACAGAACTTAATTGGCAATATATTTGACCAAAATCTGTATCACTATTAAATCCAGCTTACTGAGAATATCATATCGAATAGACCAAAAATCACTTACATTAAAAATGGAGCCAAATAGTTTTTTCAGATGAAATAATCTTTCAAATATTTTGAAATACTACCAAAGTTCAATATAAAACTGGTAAAGAGCCACCAGAACACGTTATTATCAAGCATCCATTCAAGATTTATGTGTGGGGTGCATTTTCAAAATGAGGAAGAATCAGATTTCATATATTCACAGATACTATGAATAGAAACCTATATCAACAAATTCTTTCTCAACATCTTGTTAAAGATGCATCAAGAATTATGGGTTATGGTTGGATTTTCTAACAAGATAATGATCCAAAATATATGGCTGGCAAAACACAAAATTTCTTTGAGAAACATGGCATAAAATTATTAAATTGGCCATCATACTCTCCAGATCTCAATCCAATTAAGAACCTCTGGTCAATAATAAAGAGACAAGTGGAAAAAAGAGTAAATAAAACACTTGTACAAGAAAAACAGGTAACTTGTAACATGTTTAAAGGATTTATTAAGTCTGAATGGGATAATCTTGAAATATCAGTATTTTTGAGGTTAGTAGATAGTATGCCAAATAGAATAGGAGAGGTACTGATGAGAAATGGATGTATAACTAAGTACTAATTTTTCTATGGTAGTTACTACAATAGTCTAGCATGTTTATTTTTTTGTTTCATATTGTTATTACTTTTTTTTAGTGAGCTATAAATAAATATGTGATTCCCATTACTTTTGGCGAAAACTGTAGTTATAATATTTATAATTAATTTTAGTTCTGATCTTGATATATTTTAACTTTTCTTAGAAGTTTTACTTATATATAAATATTTTTAATATAAATTTAAAAGTAATATTATTACAAAAAAATAATTAGAATTAAGAATATATAATTATTTATACTAGTATTTTACTTATGATATAAAAAAAATACTATAATATAATAGAAAAAGAAATATTAGCTATTATTTGGAAAGTAAGATAATTTAATATTATCTTTTGAAATTTTCTTTAAAATTATTACCAATTATAATATACTTTATTAACTATTTATCAAATAAATTAATTCTAACTCTTAAATTTCTTATTAAATAATGATAATATTAAAATCTATATTTATTATCTCTTATTACTTTAAAAAACTTGACTAAAATTTAGATATACTTTCTTATATTAATTATAATTAGAGATTGAAATTCAAATAAAATTCAAATAATTAAATAATTTCAAAATTCTTATATAAAAATAAATTAAATTAACTTATAATATTTACAAAAGTAAATAATGAAAATAAATACTTATAATAATTTATTCTATTATCTGAAAAATAAAAGTTATTTTGTAAATATATAAAAAAAATATAATGATAAATCAAAAATTAGATAAAATACAATATATTATAAGAATGATTATATAAAATCGGTAAGTAATTTATAAGTTTTGAAGAATATAAAAATAAAAGAATTTATTAATATATTACTACTTATTACTAATAAACTGATATAAAAAGTAATATTTGCGATTTTATATAGTTATATTAGATTTGTTAACAAATTAATAAACAAAAAATTAAATAATTACTCTTATTTATTAAAATTAAAATATTTTTTAACTGAATTATAATCAAATTGGGTCTTATAAATTAATAGTAAATAAAATCAATATATTATTATCTTATAAAATAATTAGAAGCTTAAATAATACATAATAAGAAAGTTAGTAATATTGTAATATTTTTTTTGAAGTTATTATTAATTAACATAATTATTTCAAAGAAATTTAATCAGATAACATAATTATTTCAAAGAAATTTAATCAGATAACAGATCTGAATTTATCATTTCTATTATGAAATCACTTATTAAATAATTTAATATTTAGTATTTCCATATACATGTACTGTATATGTATTCGTTAGTTATTGATACTGACAAATTGTTATTTGTGAGCTTGATATATGTTAAACTGATGTTGTGTTGAGGAACTTGTATTACGTTTTTTGTTATTTCTTTGGGCTGTTTCCCAAATCCTCATATCAGACAGGAGCTCGCGATGAGACTTCGGATTTATGGCATCTATGTTCGCGTTATAAAGATCTATGTATTCCGAATGTCTTTTAATCATTTCCGCCTTGTTGCCGAAGGTTGATAAGCCCTCTTTCTGTATTGATGTATAATTTTAATTATACAAAATTAGATTTTCAAAAAATCACAGGTATGAATAATACATGTTTGTACTTGCCTTAAGTATCTCGCGTAATTTTGATTGTTTCATAAGCGAGTAGACGATCTTAGGTTTTTTCTTCATTTCAGTTTTTGAAATAACACTTGTGTTGCAAAAAGATCTCAATTAGAAATCTGGTGAATTATTAAATTTTAAATCAAGAAAACAATTGTGAAATCACATACTTGTTAGGTATGAGAGTTCGATGATAACTTGAAGATGGTAATGTTACTTCATTTTCAGGAGATACATCTCGAGAGACTGTGTAAAGATATTCAACCTCGGGCGATGAATTTGAATAGGGTAATGTTGGATTTTCAGGAGATGCATCTCGAGAGACTGTGTAAGGGTATTCAACCTCGGGTGATGAATTTGAGGATGGTAATGTTGGATTTTCAGAAGATCCATCTCGAGAGACTGTGTAAAGGTATTCAACCTCGGGTGATGAATTTGAAAATGGTAATGTTGGAGTTTGACGACTTGAAGACGGAAATGCTCCTTTATTTTCAGGGGATATATCTTGAAAGACTGTGTAAAGATATTCCACTTCGGATGACGAATCTGAAGATGGTGATCTTGGAGTTGAAGAACTTGATTCTGCCGCATTTGTTGATTTTCCTAACTCAACGGAATGTGACATCTCTGTTTTCTTGGCGTTCTTTAGCATCGAGCATTCTGTAACAATTTTTAATAGTTCTGGTCTAATATAATAACAAAAAGAAACATCAATTAATTCACTGATTTATAAGATCAATAAATCATATTCAAAAACCTACCTAATTATATTATATTGATTCACTATATCTTGAAGTATAGTTTCCTTCCTAAGATCGTCTAGAGAACATATCGCATGACAAAGCGGACACCCCAGGTCTCTAGTAATACATGCGTCGATACAACTTTCGCAAAAGACGTGCCCGCATTTAGCAATCATTGGCGTCTGGAAGAATTCAGAGCAGACCGAACATCGAAGAAGTGAGTCAAGTCGTTGGTATTCGGGATGTGGCCAATCTGAAGGATTGGTCAACGGTTGGGTATTAGTTTTAATCAAGAATGACATTTCTGGCTATTTTATAGTAGAAAAGTGAGTTGTTTAGCTGGTAATTTATATAGTGAACAAAACGTGTGTTTGATAGCTAGCTTCGAAAGCGACCCCTATTTTATATCGGTTTCTGCGCAAATCATATTTGGGTGATATTACTAATTAGTGATAAAAGATCTTGCATCGTTCCACATGTACTTAATCCCGAGAATCTTGTTGATTACCGTTAAATGTTGAATTAATAAATAAATCAATTGCAAGATATCCATTAATAATGATTACATGACGTTACTCATGTCGATAATATTAATACTGTGGGAATATGAATTTACGTCATTCGCAAGATATCTATGATCACTATTAATAATGATTACTCATGTCGATATAATATTACTGTGGGAATATAAATTTACATCATTCGCAAGATATACATGATCACTATTAATTAATACTGTGGGAATATAAAATTTACATCATTCGCAAGGTATCTATGATCACTATTAATTATTCCTAACATGAAATGATATAATATTAATACTGTGGGAATATCATTTACAAGATATTCATGATTAATATTACATTACACATGTTGATATAATATTAATACTGTGGGAATAATATAAATTCCAGGGCTATAGTACATGTGTCATAAATGGTTGATCCTCAGCAATTATCCGTTGGTAGGCTTGTGTAAATTTAAAAATACTACATGTAATACCCTAGCCACGGCAAAAATTTTGTCGTTCACATGACTTTTAAGGGGTAAATCAATCAAATCGCAAGATGAATATTAAAGATTAATGTTAAGGCCAGCGTTTAGATTATATTATACATGAGAAGAAGATACAGCAAAGAATCTTTTTTATTAGAGAACAGAAAGAGGCTTCATAGATAAAATTTCGAGATACATGACAAGCTATTTTTCTGTTCATGTGACTGATATTTTTTTTTGATCATATATCAATATGATAACTCGGGTCATCCAAGGTATGACCCTGACTCGAACGGATTGATTAAATTTAGGACTCGTGTTATTAAGTAATAATCCCGACCCGATTTAAAATTCGGGGTCGGGTTAATAAAAAATCTCGAAGCTGTATTATAATCCAAGAGACATTTAATTTCATATTTTCTCATCTTCCAAAAATAAATTTAAAACATTGATAAATCTGTGCTTCTAGTTTTTCTTGCCCTAAAAGTTAAATATTATTAAAAAATTGCCATCTTTTACAAATCTTCGGAATCTCGTCCTTCTATAATGGAATAATTATCGATTAATGAACCAGTTGGATCTGTTTTCTCAGTGTTACATTTTATTTTTTAACTATAATTAATTATAGTATTGTGATGATATATGCATAGTTCCTATTTGTTAACATTGAATGGTACTAATTTATCGTTACTTACCATTTTATATACACCGTTCACTAGATTGCCTAGTTGTCTTGATCCTTTTCCTTCTCTAACAATTATCCATTCTGTCCAATCACATTTATTTCTTGCATTATGGTTAACAAATTCGACACATCTTCGTTCTCCAATACACAATTACTTTAGAGCTATACTTTTCAAGTGCGTTATCCTTTTTTACATCAGCTAATATATTCTTTTTTGAAGGATGATCCATAATCCCTGGTGTTGCAGCTCTTCTTTGCCACAAAGGAATACTTGTCATCTCCCTATCGGAATAATTGCCAAAACTCTCGTACTTTCTACAAACCAAGAAAAGTCATTTTTATTTTCAACCTGTTTGCCATCTTCATCCTGATTGTCATCATTCGCACTTGTCTATTTTTCGTACTTATTTTCGTCCACTTTTCTATTTGATCTCTTATTTTTCTCTTCTACGTTCCTGTTTGGATATAATTCTTGGGATTAATGATTTCCTCGTCATAATAATTATCATCAGAGTCGTTAAAAAACCAATGTACAAATATTGTGCTCTTTTACAACCCAAAACCATCTTCAAAGTTATGTGCAGGTCTACTGTCCAAACAAAGCTCAAAAAAAGTGGAAAATTCACAATTTTCGTGTCTTTAACGACTCGAAATGAACTCCTGACGAGAAAAGTTAATAATAGCAATAGAAATGACTGAATTCAAAAAGTTTGGATTATTATGAATCACAATTCATTTGATTGGATTCAGCCACAAGATTGAAATCCATTTATTTTGTGGCTGATCCAAACAGGAAGTCAATAAAATTCGATCAATTGTGATCAAACCACATGTCTGATTAAAATATGTTAATTTTAATATACTTTCAATATAATTAATGCTAAATATTATTAAGTTAAATTATTAATTTAATTTGTAGTGCTAAGTTGATTTAAAAGTTGTTCATTACAAAAATATAAACAGATTATTTTCTTTATTAAAATAAAACAACATTATCACCAAACATGATATTCCTTCACGTCATTCCTCCCACATTCTCTTGAACTTGCTGCGACAACCCGTTCTTCTCAGCTTTAATTAACTCCTGATGAACATAAAAAAATTGTCTTGTATGACGAACAATTTTTCCAATTTTTGCGTCTTGAGAATGAATCGCCGAGAGATAATTTGGTCGGATTTCCCGGGTGGTAAATAACTTTATTTGATGGTGTAAGAACTTTTAATTTGGGCAGTAATAAGAATTCTGCGGCCTAAAAAGTAAGTGTCTCGATATTTAGTGATGTGTCAATAGTTATGATTGGCGATGAAGTAATGGATGAGATGTCCGAGGCGGATGACGAAGATCTTTTTGGGAATGTACATTTTTGTCGCGTATGGAGCGAATAGGAATGTTATTAGGCCGGTCGATGCAGCACTTGTTATTATTACTTTGTAGAATTAGAATATTTGTTAACTTGTTAAATAATCGATTCTGTCAGAGAAAATAATAAAAATAATCATACACACCAACAAGGGCTAAAACACTTCTCGGCAACAAGCCCATTGGTAAAAATTAGCGGCGTCATACTCGTAGTGAAAAATAATGAGGCAATTAAAAAATTTTAAGACATCTTGCTGAATTCTCAAACGGTCCTTTATACAATAGTAAATGTTCTGAATGGTAAGGCTGCAGAGGCAGATTGTGGCTTTATTGTACTCGTGGTTGGGAAGGCGCAGTGATGGTGGTGGTTGTATAACCGAGACATTGTATAAATTGGGTTTTGCGCTTATAATACGTTGAATACACAGTGAAACTCGATATAACGGAGGTAGCGGTTCCAACTCTTTTCTCCGTTAAATCGAGAAATCCGCTAAATCGAGTTTTCACAATATACCGGATATCATAACAAACCCGTGTAGTACTTCGTTATATCAATTTTTATTAACAATTCAAAATATATTTCAAGAAAACAAAAATAACAAAAACTAACGAATTTATGCAGAGAGTATAATCAGTTTATTGTTAACAATCTATTACCGCTTCTTTACATTACTACAGTTTATGCAAGAAAAATCAATTAACAATAAAATTGATAAATTTCTCCAGCATGGCTTGTTTTTTCTTTTCGATGCTTTTGTATATAATGAGCTTTTTAAGTCTTTGCAGATCCCTCATTAATGACGCGCTAATGCCTAAATCGTTTTGCTGTATATATTTTACCACATTCTCAAGTCCGATAATCGCATCATTGGTTTTAACCTCCATTTCTATATCCTCTTCTGATTCACATCCGCCCTGTTCATTCATACTTCTATGATATCATCTACAGTCACCTTTCTTCAACACACATGAAATCATCTATTTTGACAAATTCTCATGCTTCCAGAGGATCATTGATTGGTAATTGTTCAATGAGATTGACAATCTCCATTTCCAATTCGCTTTTCTCAGGTGTAGAATCAAGATTGTTTGCCATTGAAGGGAGAATATTAATCCTATTCCAGCTATGGATAATTGTATTTGCCATAACAATTTCCCATGCATGAGCTGCAAAGTTAATTGCATTATATATAGTAATAACAGAGGGAATTGGATTTTCTTCAGCAATAGCATTATAAGTATCAAGATGGTTTTGATATAAAATGCATCAATATTATATTTATAGAAAAATATGATAATAGTTAATTTGATTAATTGCAGTTCATAAAGTGAAAGTTCATATGTAAAATTTACTTTGAGACTATATCAATTTCTTGATTGTTGTATTGGATGGTAAAAAGTGTATATATATGTTAGAAAGATTTTGAATGATTTCTGTATTATACTATTATGATGAATCTGGTAAGTGGATTTTTACTTGGGATTCATCTTAATGATATTGGATTGGGAGAGACTGAATTAATTAATAAATAAAAAGAAGAGAATTAGACTATAACTTCAATACTGACAAAGATTTCTAAGTTCTGTACCAATATCTATGAATATTATCTTTTAAAGAGATAAATAAATAATAAAGGAATAATATAAATCAAGAAAATTATAAAGATCAATTAGTAAAGTTATTATTAATTAATATAATTCAGAATTTAATATAATTCAGAATTTAATATAATTCAGAATTTAAAATAATTAAATAGTAAAGCTACTATTAATTAAAGAAGACTATGACTAAAAAAATAAAACTAAGATAAATGATAAACAAATAATTAAAAAGGTATGACTTATTTATAATAGAGATCTTCTCTCAAAAACAATAAAATAAATAAAATAAAAAGGATAACTTATTTATAATAAAGATCTTCTACTCTCCAAAATATAAAATAATATCAAAAATCAAAATTAATATAATATTATATCCAAATCAAAATCAACTTTATATGATCAAAAAAATAAAACTGAGTGAGAGAAAGAGTACTAGTATTACCGTAGTGACATAAAATTTCTTAATTCCTTAATTTTCCCCTAGTTATGCAAAATTACATATTTCTATATATTTATTTATTTTATAAATATCCCTATTTTTATATCATATATTATTTATTATCTTATCACGTTTTTATTTTTATATATTATATTTAATATTTGGGATCTGCATTTTTATAATTACTTGTAATATGATACTTATGTACATAGTAGAATAGTATAGTAGAAGATCATTTTTATTTTGTGGAACAGCTATTTTTAGAATGATGATCTCAAACATCTTTCGACGTCTTTTCACATCTTCTCATGTCTTCTCACGTCTTCTCACGTCTTTCCACATCTTTTGATGTCTTTTCACATCTTTCCACATCTTTCAACGTCTTTTCACGTCTTGTCACATCTTTCGACGTAACCCATTCATAATTATTTATACTATAGTACTTTAATTATATTTTGTATATTAGATAGTATTAGTTAGTAAT